TTCTTATAGTCGAAAAACCGACGGCAAAACTCACATAAATCAGTCAACATCTTGCTGTACTTGTCGATGCTACGCACCGCGGGGAAATGCGAAAACACGCCGTCCTTCACGTCTCGGAGTAGCTCGACTTGGAACGTTTTTAGCAGTCGAGTAGAATTCCTGCACGAACGCTCCCTTGCCTTGCGGTTTCGGATTCAGGTCGTTTAAATGCTTCGTAACGTCCGCGGCAAAGCCAGAGAGACAATATATGTCTTGAACTTTGGGAAGTCTTCATCTTTACCCTTCATTTCCAAAAAACATGATTCCTTCAGCTCCCACGCTCTCTTCATCGCTTTTCCTAAACTAGGCCAACGGAAATTGGTGTGATACGCATTATCGGCGTGCTTCGCAACGATATCTTCAAGCAGAGCAATGAATTGTCCCCTTGTACTTTCCTGCTGGTTATGGCTGTTAGGTTTAATTTTTCCTCTATATCCCGGAGGGAGTTTTCCTGCATGTGGCAACGGTGTGAAGAGCTGTTCGCTTCACTGCACAGCAAACTGGACAGTCCGTATATTTGATTATTTGATCCTTGGAGGGGTCCAAATAATCGTGCTGGGAAGGGTATCAGACCTGTCATCGCGGGCCGCATTTAGCTTTTGCACGGCAATAGCTGGCGGACCGGTCGAAATGCTGTCGCGGGCCGTAGTCTGCCCACCCCTCAACTAGAGGCTTCCACTCCGCTCGAATCCCATTCATTGACAGGGTCGCAATATAGATGTCACTGTCGACCTTCCATCTAGCATGCGCACGTCAAGAACTCCTCCGTGGCCGAGCAGCGGACTCAACGAAGCACGCGTGTTACGTTGAGGGATCGCTTTGGGTCGAATCCCCGAACGAGTCGATTCCCGGTTTCGCTGCCATGAAGCAGCGTCATGGAAGTGTTGTTGATAACAAGCCACCAGATGTCTCTGTAATATTTCTACCCTTCCCTTCCCTCCCCTCCCCGACCCCTCGGAGTGTCGCCTCTAGTTATACTCTCTACATTGTGGTCTCCAAATCCAGGGATCGAACCCGGCAGTCGGTGTGGTGATCGCGATGGTGTGGAGACGGTGCGATGTCTGTGCGCAATTCTCTTTTGTCAGGTTTCTGCTTTGGGAATCACCATTGGAGTTACTTTGGCATTCGTGAATCCGAAATCCTCGGATGAGGGGCCTGCTGTGAGTCTTCATCTTCCGTGCTCCAAATTATCCTGTTTCACAGGAATAAAAGGAAACAACCATTGAGTCTCACGTTTGTCTGACGCTATCGGCGCGTTGGAGTGAACCGCAGGAGGCAATCAAAGATTGCCTCCTGCGTGTAGTAATGTGTAAAATCAATTTTCAATGGCTTTTTCTTTTTCTTTCTTCTTTTTCTTTCTCCACTGGACTCACTAACGTTAGGCCTAGGCCTAACCAACAGACTGCCTTCTGTTCAAGTCAAGGCCTACCTTTTTTCTCTTCATTAGACCTATAAGGCCATGGTCTTCCAGACATCTCGTTGAGGACGCTAACGTTAGGCCAATCGCAGGCCTATTCATACTTTTACGAACTATTTCAGTGCGGACGTGGAACGTTAGGCCTATCTGGAGTTCCTCGAATCATCTCGAATAGGTCTGAGGACAGAATACCCCCAAGAAGCCTGAAATCCATCTGCCATCCTGCTTATTCAGGGATGCCCGGATAAGACATCTCCATATCCCACCACATCGATCAATCACTGCTAACCACCGCTACATTCTCAGCTCAACTCATTAACCCAGCACAAAAATGTCCCATACATTATTAAACAGAAGACCCAGACGCCGATACGAAGGTTGAAGTAGTCTTGAATCAGGCATAATTTCGGTACGGTATCCGGCAACACTGGGGGGGCGGATGGTACCGGAGCAAGGTCTCTAAGCCTAATTGAACGACAGTTAATTTTAATTTTTCTTTAAGTGGCAAAATGGTGCAACGCAAACAAGAAAAAGGCCACTTTTCGTCATCTACGAGTCAGTATCTTTCTTATGGTTGCTCTCTTTCCTCCGAAACCCCCCGCCCCCAGGAGTGGCGAGAAGGGGGGGAGGGGGAGAAAAAAAAAAGGAATGAAATTCACATATTCCAAAAAACGAGATTCAGTGTTCTCCTCAACTTCCCCCCCCCCCGGGAGATGGAGCTTCAAATTTGCTGGAGCTCTTCTGTTTTGAGAGAGGAAGAGGAACATGCCCAATTTCGTTCCTGTTGATGCTCGCAGAGAGGAATACGAGGAGGCTGAATTTTGCGGCGGGAAGGGGTTGAAGAAAGGTAATAGGCGCTACCTCAGCCTATTGATTACACCCCTTCAATCCCCACGTCCCCGTTGACCTTTTCTATTTTTACGATGGGTCTTTTATTTTACTTGTCTCTACATACCTTGACTTGCAAAAGAATGTGCACCATATCCGGTGGACATGGAATTAGCAAGGCAGTTCACTTTCCTGACAAACCATTCTGTGGCCAATTCGTAATACAGTAAATAGAAATCGTTTGTTTTCGAACTTCGCAGTCATGCGTACGTGAATGAAGGAAACGGTTAATATTTAAACTACGGACCCCCCCCCCACCTCCCCCCTACGTACAATTGATGCGTAACTAATCTCCCACCAATAATAATGAACCTGTCACCAAATTTCTTCAGTCCGCAGAAATGTTGACTCCATCACCAAATTTCAATGAGCCTTCATTTAGACTGGAACCAGTCATCAAACTTTTATTTTCGATTGCACCAAATATGATTTCATCCTCACAGGTGATGCCATCACCAAAACTGCATGAGCCCACACCAAACATATGCCTTCCTCGCTAAACTTAATAGTTTTGGGATAATAGGGACAAGCGTCCACAAAAGAAAAAGACTTTCTGGCAGTCGTCATCAGGTCTATGAAACTCTCCTTGGAATATCGCGTCATTAAAGAAGCTGGAATGGGAAATTGGAGAAAATCCCATTGAAGTGAATGGAGAAGAGGCGCTATGATACCAATCAAAATGGCTTTTAAATGGGTTAGTATTTAATTAATCACTAAATAATATTGACTGTCACGAAGAAGTAATGATTATCGCCAGATTTTATTATTTGGTCACTCAATGAATTTACATCACCAAATTCTTATAACTGTCACCGGATGATTTCATCACCAGGCCAAATGAATCTTACACCAAATTCTCCCTCAGGATTTTCACCAGATGTCATGAAATGACCACCAAATTTTATTGAATTAGCACCAAATTATTGTCATACTTCATGTTTAAAAAATTTTTTCTTTCATTGGGCCTGCAGAGCAGAACACACTGACTCTCCCTGCTGTGAATTAGCATTCCGAATGAATGTTTGCCAGTCTTCATCCAAACAGGGCATGTGCATTCAAAATTTGGAGCTCGCACAACTCAGAGGGAGAGTCTTGTATTCTTCAAGTTCTCCTAATGCTCCAGTTTTTTTTATTAGATACTCTTGAGCACTTGGAGGAGCTGTTGTACGCACGCTAGGTAGAGGATCGACAGCGACATCTATATTGCGACCCGGTCAATGAATGGGATTCGAGAGGAGGGGAAGTCTCTAGTTATACTCTCTATGGTAAGGAAGGAGGCCAGTCCCTTTCCAGGGGCCTGTTCCTCGCCTGTGCTAAATCTAAATCTAAATCTAAAAGCAGTCTAAAAGCAGAAAGTCTATTCTTCGCCTTGACCCTTTAGACTAAGATTTAGCCTAAGATTTAGATTTAGATTTAAGTTTAGCAGAGGCGAGGAACGGGCCCCAGCTTTCGCAGCGGACATGTAGCTCGCGTAGTTGGTGAGAGGAGCTGTCGTGTTTGGCCACCTCGTCAAACTGGTTTTCCGGGATTGAGGCGAAGGGGTGAGACTTTGTTTCTGTGTTAATGAGAGTAAAATGTGATGCCAATCCGGCAATGTTGTTCATTCATTCATTCATTCATGAGACAAAGATACATTATACTTGTTTAGGGGCGGTTATTGGCCACAAAAAATTGAAAGTTTTCGATCAGCTAAACGAAAATCAGGAAAACGAAGCCCGAATGAGACCTTTGGGACACAGGAATCCGGAATTCACGGATTGATAGGCCCTTCATCGAATATTAGCTCGTCGTTGTCAAGGTCAGGCAAACCATAGCAGCGATGGCAGATGAAGCTTTCTTCGCTTGAAACATGCCTGTCAACCTGTCAACATTCCACATCGGACAGAGTCCAGCCTTCCCGACGTCTTTCTATTTGCGAGTTCCAGGTCACACCAACAAGTCCCGCAGCCCCATCGAGTTATCGAGCCATTCCTTCCGCTTCCGCCTCATCAACAGCTTGCGTATTTCGCTGGTCGATGTCGTTCCTCGACGACCTCCCGGGAATCTTTCAATGTTAGAGTGGGTGGTCCTGAGATGGTTGCATCATTGGCGGGAAGGCACCTCGTGCCATCCCTGCCGCAGCGGTTTCATGGCTATTTTCCATATTCTCAGGAGCCGTTCTGTAGGATGTACAGTGCTTAAGCCTCACGTTGCAACCTCGACAGCTACGACGAACTCGGTTCGGATGGCCCGTTTGCTACTTGGGGAGCTCTGACGGAATCGGAGTCGAGAGCTATACCATCATTCTATTGAACTTCTCACAGAGCCTACTCAACTGTAGGCAGTACAGTGTCGGTTTCCTTCAGACTAGCCGACGCTTTCTTGTGTGCAAATACGCAGCTTTGGATACCTCCCCAGATATGAAGAATGCTACTTTTCACCTGGCCTCCGTACGAAGAAAGCATTCGACGTTGTCCTGGATCCGAACACCAATTGGGGAACTATTTTTCTTGATGGAATGTAAAATAATAATAATAAACTGCTAGGACTCTTGATGAAAAACCACCAGGAACCGCGCTCGAAGCAGCTACTATTGCACCATCGTATGTGTTTGTATTTATCTGGGATCACGAAAAGCCTCATGCGCAGTCCGCCATGGGAACACGCAGTGGAAGGCCCCGAGGCCTCCCCACACAGAGGAGAGACGCGTCAGTCGGTGAGGCGATCGCACAGGGTGAGGAACGATGCGAGTGCCGAGTTTCCTCTTGTGTCTCGTCGGTTCCCTGGCGACTTCCGGTGATCGCGATGAAGAGATCGCGAATCCGGATGCCTTGAACGAGGCTGCGGCTTGGTCTTACATGAAAGACTATAACGCGGATGCGTCAAAAACGTGCAATCGAAACACTCTCGTCGGTTGGGCCTACGCCACTGATCTCACCGAAGCGAATCGTCAGGCTGTCGTGAGTATTTATGATGATGGCGATGGAGAAAACTTGCTCTCGCTCAGATTCCGTAAAATTATGACGGAAGGCTATGCTTAAGACTTGCTTTCTCGTTACTGTCATCGTGGAATTACTGTAGATTTGTAAAATATCGATCCACGAAGTGCCAAAATTCTGTATCGGGTACATTGTATTCGATTTGCAACCTACGGATATACACCAGCTTTGGAGACGTTTTCGTATTTTTGTCGTTGTTGTTAGTAAATCCCTTCGATATCTGGATGAGTGCATTTTTTGTTATTTTTCATGGGAATTTCCCTTCTCCAGTTGACAGAGAGCCTGGTATCTGCGCACTACTGGAAGGAAACGTGGAAGAACGTGACCTCGTTCGAATGGAGAAAATTTCGCACCCCAGAGTTGAAGCGGCTCTTCAAGTCTCTCTCCATCCTCGGCACGGCTGCCCTCCCGGATTACAAATTCACACGGGTGACTCTTTCCTCCATTTTATTACTGAATTCGGAACCCTCAGCGCAGATCCACTTGACCCCAGAGACGAACGCAAAAGGCAGTCCGTAATACCAGTGGGAACCGTTTCAGTCTACAGTAGACCGACTTGCTTATATAAAATTCCAACGTTGTGGATCGGAAAGAGGCAGACGACTTCGCGTTTCGCGTTTTCCCATTTCTCTATTTCATACGAAGTAATTCCGTCATTCTGAAGGGTGAAAGAACAAAATGACACGAGCCGCCGAGTCTGAAGCCACGAGAGCCGGCATCGCATTTCGGAGTGTAAAAAAACATAGCCCGTGTGGAGCTTAAGGGCGGGAGTGCCTGGCCGTTTCGCCTCTGGCATTGGCACGCAATCTGGCATTCCGTCTCTGAATAAAAAATCGGTAACTCCGTGCTTGCTTGCACCCACTCATAATGTAACTCTTTCTCGATTAAATATCCCTTATTTTATATCCACGTATGCAATAATATTTAGATTACTATAATTGGTCGATTTGAAGCCTTGAATAATCTGAAGTGGGCACTCGGCATATGAGAAATGCTCGATCCGAGAGCATTAGCACGCCAAAATTTGGTACCAAAAGGAGCTGCACCATATCAAAACGTACAGAGGATTCATATTTGCAAGATCATGGCAGTAACGAGGAGCAGGGAAAATATAAAATTTGTCACTTGGTTTCATCATATGCTGACTGCCATGGCTTGTTACGCCCCACATCCTTCGATGGGAAAAATTTTGGCATGGGGGCCTCTGAGCCTGCGATTCGAAGCCCCGATGCCCGGGACTAATCCCGTTCCTATCTCGAAAAGCCTTCAGAATCGACTGCGGTTGCAGGCCGCTGACTACTTACAATGGATTTCAATTCCGTCGCCATGGTGAGAGGATTGTGAAGTTGTAATACGGAAATATCGTGTCATAATTGAGTTTCAGTTCTGGAACCGAAACGTAGTCATCGCATACGGTGGCACTGGAGGCGTCGAGAAAACCGAAGGTGTCGTTAAGTATCGATTCGAAGTATTGAAATGTTTCCAGAGGTACCAATGGCATGGAAAGCTACGTCGGAGTCGGTTCGTTAGCCGCCTGGTTCTCGAGCTCGGATGTGTCTGAACCCCTCCCGTGAGACTGGAGTGCCTTGTCCTCTGCACCACAGTTTTGTTTCGAGCTACACGCAACTCTAACGAAAGCCGAGGAGGGCAGGACTCTCTGGACCAGAGTGACCATGAAAACGTTCTCTGCAAAAACAGGTTGCACGACAGCAGAGGGAAAAAGAAATTCCATCTTAAGTCGTGCCTGTCTTCATTGAAAGCCTGGAAACTCCAATCGGGTGCTTTCTCGAGCCCAAGTCATGTCGGGTCATACCCAACAAACCCCGCCTTTCAATTCGTCAGCTAAAAAATCCCAGAAAAGGAAACTTGCTTGAACAGATTTGCCAGAGGTGCGTGGCAATTGGCACGAGCCTATTTGGGGGATGATCGTGCAGGATAATAATAAAATTCGGAAAAAGAACCAAACTAAGGGTTTTCATCGCATCTTACAGGGCCTCACCCCACCTTTCAGGGACACACGTCATTCGTAGAGACCTCGTAAGACCATAACCGACATGCATCCCGGAAAAATGTTTGTTTTGAAAGTTTAAAACGACTGAAATTGAAACGCTCCATCGTTCTTGGGACTGTAAAATCTTTACGTTGTGGATCTCCATTCGAGCGCAAAAATTACGCGGGGCTTATCGCAGTTACGAGGTTGATAATTTGGCCGCGAAAGATTCTCGAATTGCCAGGTGCGAATTTTTTGGTATTTCATGAATTGGAATGAGTAAAATTGCCGAAGAGCAATCGGAAGATGCGAATTCGCGCACAGAATTGTATTGATTTTGGCAGCTGGGAGAGCTGCAGACTCAGATGGAGGAAATCTACAACAAAGCGACGATCTGCGATCACAAGAACAAGTCTCGCTGCGACCTCACCTTAGAACCAGGTCACAGAAAATTTTAAGCTTGTCGATAAAAACGTGGAGATGCAGGTCGAACAGATGAGAAGTCGGATTACAGATCTGAAGCGGAAGATGACAAGCGCCTGCGACGCCGACGAGCTCCAATGGATCTGGGAACAATGGAGAGAAGCCACGGGAAAGAAGATGAGGGGGATGTACAGGGAATTCATCGACCTCAGCAGTGAAGCTGCCAAGGTCAACGGTGAGTCTTAAGAGTTTCTTCGATCTATTCCGATTCTTGGTGGCAATCGATGCTATCCAGTGTTCTTTGATGAGGAGCCACCCGTTCCCTGCGAACATGATGAGGAGCCACATGTTTCTCTCCCTCACATCAGTCCATCCCTGTTTCTACTGATACTTATTGTAATTTTGAACGGTGGATAGATAGGTTCATCCAGTATCGTGGTACTTTAAGTAACTGAGCAGCGCAACGGTCTTGTGGTTTTCCAATACTGTCATTAATGCGAAAGAAAATGGATATCGGGTCTGAATGAAACTCCCAAGTAGGTAGGAGTGAAGCTCCTGTTATATTTCCCCTGATTTCAGGTCTTTCAGGTCAGTTCTTCAGGTGCGACGAGGAGCTGTCCTCTCACATCTGACTGATCTTGTCCTTGTCAAGCAATGGCCTGCTCGATTTAACGCCGTGCGACTTCTTTCTGTGGGGCTGGGCGAAAGAATTAGTTTTAAAATCAAAACCAAGGACTATTGATGAACTTGAAAACAAAATTCGTGATATTCCAGGGAATGCACCAGATGACTTCTTGAGAAAATCTGTTGAAAATGTACCGGTAAGGTTACAGAAGTGTGTGGACAATGTTGGAGCCTACGTTGAATTTCAACTTTGTAATAAAGCTTTTCAATTTTGTTATAAAGTAAACGGTAAAAAATAAGCTTCAATTCAGTTAAAGAAAATTTTCAATATCTCCTTTGGTTTAGAAGCAATAACAATTTAAAAATAGGGAGTGACTTTTCAGACACCCTGTAGGTCTGCGTCAAGCGGTAAGTCTACGTTTAGCGTAAGTGCAATAATAGACAGGCATAATTTAGATCTAGGCATAGCGTCCGAATAATAATCTCTGCCGCGACACTTTCCTAATCCCAACTAACCCATCATTCCCCAATATAGGTTGACTTTCTCTTTGGCTTTTGACACCGAACCGGTAGGAAAATCAATGGGATCCACCAGCTTTGTCATCTCAAGGACTGGTCACACCCGAATGAGGAAGCCTCTGCCGGAAGGGCGTAAGAATACCCAACTCGTACAACGTTCCTCAAGCCGGGTCGGTCCTTTGACCGAGGACGTGAACCCATTTGAGTGCAGCCCGCATGCCTGTGTTGGCTTAGGTACAGGAACGAATGCTAGCAGACGCAGGGGTCTTGGTTGGCGTGCGACATGGCCACTACAGATTGTCAAGGTCTGTAACGCGAGATCGACTTGCAGCACTGTGCAAGACAGTGTCCATCTGAAGTCAGGAAAAATTGTGTGATAGTATATTTATAGGACTTACCTTTTTTCGACCTCTTGATGCGGTCACCCATTCAAAAGTTTCGCATTAATTGTCCTCTTAGGATATGCTGCCTTTATAAAGTTGTTTTGACAAGAGGTATGATTTAGATTGACTCCGTGTTGTCCATTCTCATCTTTAGAGCATATCCTGAATACCTCCTCAGTATAGCAACAATGATGATTCTTTCGAAGTTTTTCGATATGAAGACAACGAGTAGTCAAAATGTACACAATGTCATCATTTCTAATCCCGGCAGCACTGAAAATAGTTACGTCCAAATAACAAAGATTCGATGTACAACACAGAGAAAAGTAAATAAATCCCATAAGAAATGAGCGTCATAGATCGGACATATTTTATCACATTAACTGCTGCATAGGATGCAGGCAGGTTGCACGCTCTTGTATTCGAAGTGCCATACGACCTGCCCCCAAGTTAACGTGCTAAGATTGTTCTTATTGTCGATTGCAACTATGGCATTTATTAAACCCCAAAATAAATTATGTTGATCTGATGTTGATCCATCAACAAGAACATCCCATCAACAAGGTCAACATGTTTTCAACATTGAGTACACGTTATCGTTCAAACTGGGTTAATGGATCTTTAGACTATTGGCTCGATAAACTGCATTCTCATTAAACATGAAACGAATTAATTGAAGTTTTCTTCATTGGTCTTGAGTTGCTTCCAACGGCTCAAGTACCAGCTTTTCAATTTTGTGATTGGAAACTTCATAAATAGCTACAGAAATGTTTTCAGCTTCGTCTGTAATTTCCATGATGAATTGTTGCACCAGCTGTGCTGGTGCAACAATGTTAAAGGGCTGTTAAAGGGCTTGTGAATGTGGTGAAAATGTTATATCTAGGAAATATTTTTACCCATTGGACAGGACAAATAAACTCGCTATGATCGCGCCTTCGGTTCTTCATCATCTGGGACAATAATTAATTCATTAAAAATATCCGTTTTGACAAATTAATAAACATTACAAATATCCGTTTTGAACAGTGGTACCTCGTAAGACTCGTAAGATCAACAAAACCAATTTGTTGATGAATTGAAACACAGGTAGCAAAATAACATTGATTCAACGTTGATTTGGTGTGGATCGAATATATCACTGCTGAAGGTTTATATTTCTAAGTTGAATCAACATTGAATCAATGCAGCGACTGTCAATGTTTATACACCCACATTGACTAAACATAGAATCAATGCTGCACTATTCACGGTCCTAGTAGCACATGACATTGAAACAACATTGATTCAACATTTGGATGTTGAATCAACATTGAATCAATGTTGTTTCAATGTATTGTATTAATACTACTAGGGGGTGGAAGTGTTCACATTATATTTACGTCGATTTAATGGATTCCTTGGCAGTATGAAATCCCTTGCGTTTTATGTCTAGTTAGGACTATTTTTGTGCACACCACCAGGATTCGTTGAATAGTTTAGCCAATCGCCCAGAATACTTTCGATCGAAAAAAATGCTCAATTTATGGGAGTAGAAGGTGGCGGAAATTACGCTAGCCCCAAATTCTATCACAGCAAGCAAGCAAAGAAGAAAGAAAATTTCTTGCGAGCATCTGACATGGGGAGTTGTCTCAATACAAACGTAAAATTAGTCAAAGGATATTCAATAAATAAATAACATATTATTGCTTATTTTTAAAGCTAATTAATCGATTAACTTGCAGCATATTCTAATCTAGACTTTTACCTTACTTATGAACGAAAGTGTATTTGTGTGGCTGGATCGATGTAACCCATAGCCCTTAGCTTTAAATCTTAGTTCCCTAAGTGTGGGGCCTGGACGACGGATATAGTGGCCCTGTGGCTGATGGATCACAAGGGCCACCTTGGGCTACCTGGGTAATATATCAGCAAAAAATAATTTCTTTGCTTTTAAGGAGGATATCAAACCCCCTGACTTCATCGGTTTCCCTAGTAGCACCTAATAATGAATAATTATCCAGACGTTGAATCAGCATTTAATCAATGTTGATTCATAGTTACGGGACGCCAGGGAAGAGTCATTTTTTATTTCAACTTTCTGCCTTTGAGCTATTGGAAATGATATGTGGGAGAGTTCTTCTCAGTGGAAGAACTCTTCTCTCTTGCATTGGATGCGTAAGAAACCAGCATCATGCATAACTTCTAATCACTGAAGTTTCTGCGGTACACTTTCGTGGTGTTGTAACACTTTGTGGGCCACCATGTTTTTTTTTACAGTTGCGTAACATGACTACCTGAGTAAAGTGGATGCCTTTGGTCCATATCGACGTAACATAGGACAGACTCACGTGAAACAGCTTCACCGCGTCAGCATTGCTCACATTAATTGAAACGAAGTTTCAGCATGGCATCAATCCTTTAACATTGATTTCATGTGGATTCGATGTTGAAAGAGCAATGTTGCGAGAATGTTTTCCGGTCAACGTTACATCAACAGATGTCAGGCGAGACATCTAGCGAGACATGCGAACAAACAAGAATTCCTGACTGCGAAATGTGATGGTGAGTACTTGCCCAACATGGTTAGTTACCTTATATATGCTCTCAGTACACATCTCTAGTACTTTTTGAGCAGTATGATATATTCTCCAAAAACGAGGCTGGGGAAGGTATTTGACTTGCTGGATATATTCGACCAATGTGGCAACCCAACCAAACAGGAACCAGGATAAATCTGAGCAGGGTGGACACAAATAGGCTTGCCAGGTTATATTACTCCATGTGACCATGACGCCCTGTCTTCGAGGATGAATCCGCAATCATTATCATTGCTGAAGGCTACGTAGAGTGAGGGTAGCCCCTAATTACATCACAGTAATCCGCCGGTGTCCTGCTTCCGGGAGAACAAGATGCCTCTTTCTCATCTCAGTACTAGGTTCGCATTGTCCTTGGATGGGGGAATCCTAGAAAGCGGATTCAGATTATGGATATCGTGTCCAGATGGTATTCAAATAATAATTCAGTCATGGAACAGCGCATGCGCACGAATTAAACAGATTGTTCAGACCTGTCATAAGAAACGTTGAACCATCGTGGATTCAACATTTCTTCAATATTGAAGAGAATGTATTTCAATATGGAGTCAACGTTGATAAGCAAATATTAAATCAACGTCGCAATGTTGCTGTTGAACATCGAATCAATGTTGACATACCGTTGATGCCAACGTTGTGAATCTAAATCAATCGTTGATAAAAATGAACTTTCAATATAGAATCAATATTGACAGGTAATGTGGTTTCAACGTTAGCTGCATCGACGATATGACTTTGAATCGACATGAATTCAGCGTGAGTGTGCTACTTGGGTATGTGCCTACCAAATTTCATCAGAATCGGCAGTCTACTTACAGATTGGCAAATCACCAAAAAGTGATAGCTTTGTTTTTTTGGCCCACCCTGTATATATCGCCAGATTACATCCATCCAGTTTGGGGGTAGGGGTCGCAAAGATCACTGACGAGGGAGCAAAAAATCAGTGTGGAAATTCATACAATTTTTTTTCCAGACTTTTTGAAAATGCCAAAAAGTCAAACGCTGCCTAGTTGTATCGTATATATCCGTAGTGAGAGCGAGATACAAGCCTACCAGTACCTAGTGGTCCTAGTTAGGGTTAAGCCCATATCATGAAGGCGGAATTCCGACTTATTCCAATATATTGGCACAAAGAGGAAGTGACAAT